TTGCTGCGAATCAGGGGTCTAAAACATACACATGCTCTTGCAACATGTTTGATCAAGATGGTCTCCTATGTCCCCACATCCTGAAAGTCTTTACCACACTTGATGTGCAGCACATACCACAGAAGTACCTGCTGCACAGGTGGTCAGAAGAAGCAATGCTAAAAGTGCCTCAACATTTGTCAGGTCCTGAACCAGTGTTTGGTGTTCTAGTGACAAACAAGCTGAGATACAATGCGATGTGTGCAGGAAAATGACTTAGCTTGCAGCTGATGCTTGTGTCGGGCCAGAAGAGTACATGGTGGGTTCAGAAGGGATCGACCAGCTGAGGGAAAAGGTGAAGGCAACCACCCGAGCATTGATTTCGTGGCAAAATGATCCAAAAATGCAGTTGGGAGTGAAAAGTAGGTGGAGGGAGGGGTGAAACGAACAAAGTTTAAAACCCCTCCGACAAAAGATCCAAAGGGAAGGCCCAAGGACAAGGTCGACCGTTTGAAGACCATTGTTTGATAAGCGAAAGATAAAGCAATCAAGAAGAACAAGTCTAAGGCTAGAAAGACCAAAGCCAAAGACTCGGCGTGCTTGGTATGCCATGAAGAAGGCCATTGTATAGAGACATGCAAATACATGGCAGCAACAAAGCATATAAGGGACACCGAGTTAAAGCTATAGATTTATCTTGCTTTAGCAAAAATAAATGTATATATGAGCCACATTAAGTTATAAGATAAAGACAAAGTTGTATTTACTTTGTAATGGGTAGAACTACTGTTACATCTGAAATCCTCTAATGAAACAACATATCACTACTGTTACATCTGAAATCTTCTAATGAAACAGCATGATTTCACTACTGTTACATCTGAAATGCTCTAATGAAATAGCTGAGTCTCACTACTGTTACATCTTAAAAATGTGGTCATGCAACAGCAAAGGTTGACTACTGTTACATCTGAAATGCTCTAATGAAACAGCAGATTTTCAATACTGTTACATCTAAAATTGTGGCCATACAAAAGCAAAGGTTGACTATCAGATTGTGCATATGGTCAACATTGTTGCAAAAGTGGACAAACATTGACAAGCATGGACCAATAGAAAAGAATGCTACAACACAAGCTAAAGAACTAACCAACATTTTTAGAAAGATGTCACAGTACATAACATTGCAAGACTAGTAGACTTTAGTTGCTACTAAAAATAGATCAACATCATGCCAGGATGTTTCTAGGGTATGATGACCTAAGATCACAAGCATTCACATATTGCCACATAGCATAACAGGACTCCACTCCATATTTACAAGAATTCTGGTGTTTCAATGCACATCGTTCTCCTGACATCTCCTAAGATACATAGCATCAACTTGATCAGGTCTCCTTGGCATCATACTTCTTCATAAAGTCATCTAGCTTAACCATATTGCGTGATGATAGAAGGAGTAGCGCAGCAGCATGCTTCCTGTACTCTAGCATCGACCACTGGGCAGAGAGATAATGAAAAAATGGAGAGCAAAACGGAGCAAGCATATTTAGAGACAAAATAGGAGTTGCAATAAAGAAATTTTTTGAATGGCAACACATACTCGCTCGAGTGATGAACCCACCATCTCCTTGCCATTCCATGCGTCCATATAATCCATTGTGTCTAGCCCACAGTCAAACCTTTTAAGAAAAAGGAACAATAAAAAATATGAACATACAATCATTAGCCTATAATGACAAGGAGCGATATGCTAAATTGAAAACATACAAATTCTTTTATTTAGGGTATCATGTAGGGTAGATCCATGCAAAATCAGACACGTCAGCTTTGAGGACCCAATATTTCATTGTTGTGGCTGAAAAATTCTGAATCTGAAAAACAATGAAACAAATAAGGAATACACATTGCAACAGATAATCAAGAGCTGCTTCAACAACTGAAGCACTAATGTGCAACATGTACAAGAGATAGTGACAATTTAGAAACACCAAGTGACACTAGATTTTCATAATCCTCTTATTTGGTATTTTTCAGCTTGATAGCTAAATTATATGCACATCATATGTCATCACATGTGTTAAAATTTACACCAAGAACCACAAATATGTTGCAACAGGTAATCAAGAGCTATTTCAACAAAGGTGGAATGAATGTGCAACAACTAAAAGTAAAAGCTGCTTGAAACACCCAAGAAATATAGGATACAACAAGGAAGCCACTTACCAAGTTCTGGGCACGCTTCAAACATGTGCTCTCTTTGGATACACTCAAAGAGTCGAAGAAAGCAATTTGCTTCATGAACATACTAACACAAAGAAGCACCCAGTGGTTCTCAAATACTATCAGAAAGAACATCTGCATAGTATGGTTATGTAAAATTAAATAAATTAATGTGGCACCTTTGACAACATCGTTAATCGTATTTCATTGAAACCAAACAATGTATATACAACTCACATACTAGATCCATCTTGGTGATAGTCCATTTTTCATTTATCTTAGTGTAAATGTTCTTGCAAGTCCCATCATGTCTAAAAGAAGCTGGATCCACACTCATGAAGTCCTGTCCAGCACACATAAAAAGAAAAAAGCTAAATAAAAGATGAGTTCCAGGAATTCAGTTTGAAATAAAAAGTCACATGTATTGTATCATTACCATGGCCAACTAGGGGAAAACAAATTTTATATCTCTTGTTTTTTCTCATCATACAATTGAAGGTGGTCAAGATTGAACTAGTAACTCCACAAGGCCATTACATTGTTACCAACCAATCCCCTTGGCTTGAAGGAGTCATAGAACTCATCGTACGTAACGTGGAAGCCATCAATCTCAATGAAAGGTGGCCTTGTAGAAAAGAAAAGGCGATATAATTACCACAACCGATGTAATAAACAACGAACACATAATCAAAACCTACTAGAAGAAAGATGAGCGAAGTGCTAAACCAATAGAAGCTTGTTTCAACAGTTGAAAAATACATTTGCAATAATTAAATAAAGCTATGGCTACAACTACTCGAACACATATGAATGAAGTAGAGCTAGTTTTTATTTTTTGTTTAAAAAATGAAGACTACAGAGGTGGCAAACAAAGCAAAAGCTAACTGATCACTTAATGCAACAGGTATGAATGAAGTATGGAAACAAAAAAAGAGCTAGTTTCAACACATGAATAATGCATTCACAACAACTAAAGCAAGCCTAATGCAACAGATATTAACAACACATTAAACAGGGCATAAGTGTAGGATAAGTAAAAGTGAAAAAAGGTTTGGGGAGTTGGGAGTGGGTAAACTCACGGTTGGCTTTCTACCTCTATCTTGAATCCCTGATCAAAAGCTCTTTTAGCCAAAAACTTGTTCTAAATTTCTTTGGTATCATCATCATCACCCTTGGATCTTTTTTGCTTCAGCCCAAGGCCAACATAAATTCTTTTCCTCTTCTTTCTATTCCTTTTTTTATTGCGCTTGAGCCTGTTTGTCTGTCCTTGGAAGCCTCAATGGTGCTGTCCCCTGGACAAAAAATCAGGGTTGAAGTATATAGAAACATATGTACTGAAACATATATAGATAGCTACTACAACACATGAGGTAGCACCAATGAAATAGTAGAAAATCAGGACTGAAGTATATGGAAACATATATGGATAGCTACTGCAACACACTACAGGAAGACGGAGCATTAGTGATAAAATGATATGGCAAAATTTATCTTTGTCACTAATGTCCATACTATTTGTGACAAAACTAGTTTTCATCACTATTGTGTTGGTTGTTAGTGACAAAATACTAATTCGCCACAGAAAACATCTTTAGTGGCAACCGGGGTGGCGAAACGTTGTTTTGCCACTATTTAACAAGATATTTGTGGCTAAAAAATTACCTCACTGATATGACATTTATTAGTGGCAAAATAAATTATCGTCACAGGACACAATTAGTGAGAAAATATTGTGGTGAAATTTAAATTTGCCACTACTTACCATACTATATGTGAAAAAACTAGTTTTTGTCACTCTTGTGTAGGTTATCAGTGACAAAATATTAATTCGCCACATAAAACATCTTTAGTGGCAGAACATTGTTTTGCCACTATTTAACAAGATATCTGTGACAAATAAAATATTTACCTCACTAATATGCCATTTATTAGTGAAAAAAATTATCACCATAGGACACACGATTAGTGAGAAAAATATTATGGCAAATCATAGTTACGACTAAAGAAGACTCTTAGTTTAATCATAGTACGATTTGCTGCATCTTATCCGTTCGTATAACAGAGTATTATCCATCCCCTTCGGCCCTTCCTTCCTTTGTGCCCGGTGACGAGTGGTTGATCGGTGATTCGGCGTCTAGGCGAAGGCGGAGCATGTCCAGGCGGAGAGGCGCACGAGTGGACTGGTCGCGGCAGCCAGGCCCCAGCAGCCCTGCCCTCCTCGCGCGGCCGCTCACCGGCGAGCCCGTGCCCCGGCGACTCCTCATCCCTGCCCCAGCGCTCCCCGGCTCTGCTGCGGCCTGCACCGCGCCGTCGCCAGCCACCCAGCCCTGCTCTGCTGGCTGTTGCAGCCTGCTCTGCTGCTGTGCTGCGCCCGGAGCCTGACTCAGCCCCTCTCTGGAGCAGACGAGCAGCATGCAGCTTCAGCAGTGCAGGCGTGCAGAACAAGAGCAAGCCTGAAGGGAGCTGCAGGTGACTTCTAGGTAGTAGGATGAACAGAGGCTGGTCCTTCAATTATTTCTAATTATACTGTATTTTTTGAACTTTTGTTAGCTCAGTTTGATTAGGGATTCTATATGAAAAGAAGTTGTCATGTGTGCCTGTCAATTTCTAGTTTTTTGAGATTGATGAATGAATCTATAGATGCCTTGAATCATGTCAGGCTAATTATTCATATAGAGTTACATGCATGCTTTGGTCTGTTACTATGCAAATATGAGATTGCTGGCATTATTCTATGTACTGAAAATAGACCAAGAATCAGGACATATGGAACTCTGAGCTCGATTACAAATTAATAACTAGTCATCATCTATTTCTTCTTCCGATTCACTGTCTTCGTCATCTGAATCCATGTACTCACCACCTTGGCTGTCATCACTTTCAGATTCTTGTTGCTCATCTTCATCTTCAACGTCACCCTCGTAATGGAGTATCGGATTACCTTCTACAGCCATAGCCCTACCTTCAACTTCTGCTTCAACTTGAGGTGTGTTCAATATACTTGTGTCATCATCTTCTATTGTATTTGGATTCGGCACAGTTATTACTTCATTTTCTTGGTAAGCTTTAGGACTGGATTTACTTGATTTAGTACTAGCATCTTCTTCATCAGTGGGAGGAGTGTCAAAATAATCACGAGGTTTTGTCTTTATCACGAGCTGTAAGTGTGGCAAAGGATAGAGCATACGAGGATCTTTACCAACATTTGAGTACGAAGGAAGGAGAGAAGGACATTTATAGGATGGCTAGGGTTTGTGAGAGAAAGACAAGGGACTTCAACCAAGTTAAGTGCATTAAGGATGAAAGAGAGCATCTCTTGGTGAAGGAGGATGAGATCCGACATCGATGGCAAGAGTATTTTGACAAATTATTCAATGGTGAGAATACGGACACAACATTTTTGTTGGATGACTCTTTTGATGACACCAATAGGCGCTTTGTGCGGAGAATCCAAGAATCTGAGGTCAGAGAGACGTTGAAAAGGATGAAAGGAGGTAAGGCGATGGGACCGGATGGTATCCCAATCGAGGTGTGGAGATGCCTCGAGGACATAGCTATAGTATGGCTAACCAAGCTGTTCAACCATATTTTTTGATCGAACAAGATGCCTGACGAGTGGAGAAGTATATTGGTACCGATCTACAAGAATAAAGGGGATATTCAAAGTTGTACTAATTACCGGGGAATTAAGTTGATGAGCCATACTATGAAGCTATGGGAGAGAGTTATCGAGCATCGCTTGAGAGCAATAACGCGGGTCTCTATGAACCAATTTGGTTTCATGCCCGGAAGGTCAACCATGGAAGCTATTTTCTTAATAAGACAAGTTATGGAGCGGTATAGGGAGAAGAAGAAGGACCTACACATGATTTTTATTGACTTGGAGAAGGCTTATGATAAAATACCAAGGAATGTTATGTGGTGGGCTTTGGACAAACATAAAGTCCCAACGAAGTACGTCGGTCTCATTAAGAACATGAACAACAATGTTGTGACTAGTGTTTGAACAAGTGATTGAGACACGGATGACTTCCCGATTAGGATAGGACTACATCAAGGGTCAGCTTTGAGCCCTTATTTGTTTGCCTTAGTGATGGATGAGGTCACAAGGGACATACAAGGGGACATCCCTTGGTGTATGCTTTTCGCGGATGATGTAGTGCTAGTTGATGAAAGCCGAACACGAGTGAATCAGAAACTTGAGTTATGGTGGGAGACTTTGGAGTCCAAATGTTTTAGACTCAGTAGAACTAAAACTGAGTATGTGAGATGTGATTTCAACACTACTACTCGGGAGGAGAAAGATATTAGTTTGGAAGGTCAAGTAGTGCCTAGGAAGGATACCTTTCGATATTTAGGATCAATGCTACAGAGAGACGGGGATATTGATGAAGATGTTAGCCATAGAATCAAAGCAGGGTGGATGAAGTGGCACCAAACATCTAGTGTCCTATGTGACAAAAGGGTACCACAGAAGCTAAAAGGCAAGTTTTATAGGACGGCAATTAGACCTGCTATGGTGTATGGTGCAGAATGTTAGCCTACGAAAAGACAACATATTCAACAGATAAGTGTCATGGAAATGCGTATGTTGCGTTGGATTTGCGGTCATACAAGAAGGAATCGAGTTCGGAACGATGATATACGTGATAGATTAGGGGTAGCACCAATTGAAGAAAGGCTTGTCCAACACCGGTTGAGATGGTTTGGACATGTCCAACGGAGACCTCCAGAGGCACCTGTGCGTAGTGGAATCCTAAGCCAGGATAGTAACGTGAAGAGAGGCAGAGGAAGACAGAAGTTGACTTGGGTAGAGGCAATAAAAGGTGACTTGAAATGATGGAATATACCCAAAGACTTAGCCTTATATAGGAGTGCTTGAAAAATAGCTATTTAAGTGCCTGAACCTTGATTGCTTCTGCTGGGTTTCAACTCTAGCCTACCCCAACTTGTTTGGGACTTAAAGGCTTTGTTGTTGTTGTTGTTGTTGTTGTAGTAGTCTTTACCACGACATACCATTTTGGATCTTGAGTATCATTCACATAATATACTTGCTCTGCTTGCGAAGCCAAAACATATGGCTCATCTGTTGACAGCCTGCGAGTAGTATTTATCATTATGAACCCATACTGATCTTCTTTTAACTCCCCTTGTTGTATGTGCATCCCACCATTCACATTTAAAAAGAACAACTTTATGAGTCCCATATAAAAGCTCCACAGTATCTGTCAAGACACCAAAGTAATATTTGTTTCTAGTTCCTTCATCGCCCTTGACATAGACTCCACTGTTTTGTGCTTGAAATAGGGCGTCTTTGTCCCTTGTGTTAAATCTCCATCCATTGACCATATAACTTGAGAAATGTGTCACTCTAGTATAGGATCCTCTTGCTAGATCAAATAATTCATCGGAAACAGAAGGATCTCCTTTGGAATACATAGCTGGTATCTACATGAAACATAGTAGTTAATTAAGCTACCCTAAAGAAATAATGTAATAAATACATCCTTATACTTACATGGTTCTTGAACCACTGAAAGAACTCTTTCTCATGCCGCTTATCTACATTTCTGGTGCTCTGTGTCCTTAAATATTCCTTGTAAATGCTGTGACATAGGAGAATAGATGTTACAAAAATGGAGTCCACAGTTCAATGAACATCTTATGAGTGGCTTACCCTGTATATGGAGCAGCCTCTTCACAGTTCTTTAGAACGTACGCTTGTGCTTTATTCAATTCATTCATCTCCATCTCACAATATATATTCCCAATAAGTCATCTTAAAATTTTAGCAAAAATCTGGAGCTGTGTGTTGCTATTGTTATCATCACTGTCATCATTACGGCTTGGCCTGTTGATTCTTGTCTCAATTCCATGCAAGTACATAGAACAAAGAGTCACACATTCCTGTAACACTACAGCCTCAACAATTGCTCCCTCTGGACGAGCTTTGTTTTTTACAAATGACTTTAGTCTACGCAAGAATCTCTCGATGGGATACATCCATCGATATTGCACAGGACCACCTACCATTGCTTGTTGAGCTAAATGGATTGGTAGATGCATCATTACATCAAACATGGATGGAGGAAATATCTTTTCTAATTTGCAAAGAGTAATAGCAATTGAAGAATCAGGCCTTTTAAGGATCTCCACATCTAACACTTTTGAGCAAATTTCTCGAAAAAAGTTGCATAGCTCTGGAAGCATGCCCTGATATTTTAACATTTATTGCATCTACATAATTAGATACCTTTGCAGAATGACCATCTGGGACTTTGATTTTTGTCAAGAACTCACAAAATGCCTTCCTTTTAGGTCCAAAAAGTGTATAAGGTGCATTGTGAAATAAATATTTTCCATCATCTGTGGGAGTCGCATGAAGTTTTGGTTGTATTCCCATGATTTCCATCTCGAATCAAGAATTAATGTTATCCTTTGTCTTCCCCTCCTGTCCAAGCAAGGTACCCGCCAAACTTTCACCAACATTTTTTTCAATGTGCATGACATCTAGGTTATGTCTTAGTGTCAATTTACTCCAATAAGGGAGTTGAAAAAAATATACTCTTTTTCTTCCAAACACCATACACTGTGCTAGAGCGTTTCCTTTTCTTGTCAGATTTCCCAAATATAACCTGAATGGCAGCATAATGATAGCAATGTTACACCTTTGAAATTACATCAAAACATCATAACTTGTATCATATTTATTTAGAAAAGGAAAGCTGCATAGACTTAAATCTTTTTTGTATGTGTACCTGAGTAAACTTTTCATATTGTGAAAGAACTTCAGCGCCTGATAATGGTTTTGAAGCACATCTCCTTTCCCTTTGGCCATTAAAAGAAGTAGTATTGTTCCTCCAACTATGTCTTGCTGGTAGGAATCTCCTGTGTCCCATGTAGCAACCTTTTCTTCCATTAGTTAGCCATTGGTAGCAAGTGTCAGTATGACAGGATGGACATGCATATTTTCCCTTTGTGGACATTCCTGATAAATTCCCTAAAGCAGGAAAATCATTAATTGTCCAGAGCAATGCAGCTTTTAGTGTGAATTTATGCTTCATCGAAGCATCATAGGCCTCCACCCCACCCCACAACTCAATCAGCTCATCAATTAATGGCTGTAGATATACATCAATGTCATTGCCAGGTGCTTTAGGGCCAGGAATGAGCATTGAAGTTATCATATAAGGATCTTTCATGCACATCCAAGGAGGTAGGTTATACATCACAATAACAATGGGCCAGATGTGCTCATATGTCCAAACATATTGAATCCGTCACTAGCAAGCCCAAGTCTGACATGACTTTCTTAGCATCATTGAATGACTTTGGAGCCTTATTCTTGGTAGGAAGTACCTTCCAAAACAGAGTAAATAGAGCATCCATTGCATTTCCACTCAAATCATATAGGCACTTGATGTTCATCATTTGCACAATGAATGATAGTGTAGAGAAGGTACTGCATTCTGGGTACAGCTCATGGTCTGCCTCTTCAAGAAGTCTATAAAATTTGCTAGCTTCTTCAGTAGGACCTGTAGATGTAGTCATGTCATCCTGCAAGCCAGGTGATGAACCATCAAATGATCCCAAGTTGGCATTCATAGCATTTCCAAAATCATTCACCATCTCACGCAGATCATATTCATCATGATCTTCCATATCGTCGTCACTGTCGTCTGAATCTGACACACTCTCTCCATGATGATCCCATACTTTGTACTCTTTCCATATTCCATTCAGCATGAGATGCTCCATTATAGATATCTGATCAGCAAAGTAATTGTTTTTGCATATTCTACAAGGACATCAAAGGAGCTTGTCCGCACTATAGCTAGAAAAAGCAAACTCAATAAATTTTTTAGCTCCTTCGTATCGGGGAAGCCTCCTATTGGATATGTCCATCCAACTTTTGTCCACAACCATCCTGTCATTGAGGAATGAATTGTTTACAAAACTATAGTTTGTCAAGTTATTGAAAAACTTATAAAAATGACAGATAAATATAGGTTGTGTATACGGAACAGAAGACCCAGGAAATATTCAATGGGTTATTGGTATTTGGTATGCATATTAGGTACAGACCTATGGGTGTGCTATGGATATGGCAATGACAATCAGGATGGAACAATCGAGCTACACAGAGGTCCTGCATCTGGCTGCTTCAAGAACAAACACGTGTACGGTCAGTGGCGGACTCAGGATTTTGCTAAGATTAGGGCCAAATTTCAGTGGCGAAACACCGATAGCTACACCTACACCATAGACATTCTCAAAGAAAGTTTGCAAATATAGTATGGTACAGTAACAGACAATATATTACATGATTCTCAATGGAGGCGGGCGTACGGCGAGCGGGCCAGGCTGGCGGTGTGGGCTAGGCGGGCGACGCAATGGAGATGGGCGGTGCAATGGAGGCCGCCGCGGTGAGTGGATGGCGCGGTGGAGGCGCCGCGCCGCGTGGTGGAGTCCGCGGACGGCGAGGTGGATGCGGCCGTGACCGCGGTCTGGTGAGGTGCCGATTCAGAGTGAGTGAGGAGTGGGGAAAACTGTTCCCTGAGTGCCTGGGCCGCCCGTCCGCAGGCCCAACAAGGAGGCCGCAGGCCCAGCGAGGATGCGTCCGGACGTCCTCACCCAATCAATATCGTTAAAGTAACAGTGGTGTTTCTCCTCGATCTCTTCCTCACATAATGACGTAACTATTCCCATGGATGTGGAATATGAGCATTGAGCAGATGTAAAATCAAGGTAGCATTCAGGTTCCTTTTGTGAACTCCAACGCTCAATAACACCACTGCCCAAGTCTTCTCCAAATTGCATGGGTAGTTCCTTGGCTTTCCTCTAATTTAAATTTTATTACCTTGCACATCCTATTTTAGATTCAATGTTGCCTTTTTTTCTTAAATCATCACCGAATTCATTAGTGTTATTCACGTCTGCTGGAGTCTAGATTCATAGTTGCATTTTTTTAATCGCAACTGTATTCATTATAATGTTGTGCATGTCTGTTGGAATTTTTTTTCGAAATCGTGCATAGCACGTGCTTCATTAAGGGGAGATAGATGTTTTAGTACATCTCGACCCAACGATGGCGAGGTGCCGCGTTTTGTACGAGGAACACACAACACAAATCACCGGCTTGAACGGTGCTGCCACTACTTTGTACTAACTAAGTAAACTTCTATTTGCGACAAACAGATATATAGCGAGGTTAATCCCCTATGGCGCGAACAGCGATGCAAGCGAACGGAATCCCGCGCTGACCCACTCGGCTCCCTCCTGTTGTATCCCTTGCAGCACCTGTGCAACTGATGAAGGTGCTCCACCGAAGGTCCTCCGATTCCGCTCCTTCCAAGTCTCCCATGAGACAAGTAGCACCAAAGAATCAAATCCTTTCTCGAACCTCGATGATATCTTCCTCCTCGATGCCGACCACCGCTTCACCAAATCAGCATCACCGCTTTGGGCGGAGGAACCGGAACCCAACCCTTTGGAGCAGATCAATGCCACAGCTCCTGGTGAACACACAAGCGGCGAAAGATGATCGGCCGCTTGGGCCTCGTGAACACATCACGCATTGCCGTTTGCTTGCAGCCCATGGCGTTGTCTCCTCGCCGCTATCCGTAGTCGGTTTGTGGAGAGCGAGCCAAAAGAAAATTTTGACCTTTGGTGGCGCGGCCGCCGCCTGAGCTTCGGCTGCCCCAAGCATTTGGACACGTCCCATGGAAGAAGGCGCGATCGCCAAGAACTAGAGTATCGCCATCGGGCCGTCGTGTTCCGCACCAACTTGTCGGGGACGTCCCGTTAGAAGCCGGGTGCCATCCACCATTTCCCACACCCGTAGGGAATTGGGTGATGAATGTGGCCGACGCCGCACCGGAGACATCTCGCCCACCGCTTTGTTGGCTAGAGCGTCATGGACGCAGCGGGCGACGACGTCGGCCAGGGCACGAGACGCGAACACAACCGGTGCCCAAAGTGACATATTGGACCAAAGAGGAGCCACCATCGGTCCGAGAATCTTGCGGTTGCTCCGTCGCCTAGGATGATTGAGGTGGCGGCGTTGAACATGTGGGCGACGCAGTGCTCCGCCGTCGCCGGCAACAATGCCCAAGCCGAGTCTGGGCGCGTGCGTCGTAGCCACTCCCATCTCAATCTGAGAGCGTAGCCGAGTATCCTGAGGTCTGGCTGTCCGAGGCCACCAAGGTCCCTAGGAGCACATACCACAGTCCAGGCGACTTTACATTTCCCACCGGTGACCGTAGTGCTCCCTGCCCATATGAAAGCTCGCCTGTACTTGTCAATGGCAGCGATTGCCCATGCTAACAAGGTGCAGTAAATAGCGACATGGACCGGGATTGCCGATAGCGTCGTCTTTGTCAGCGCAGTGCGACGCGCCCTAGAGTTCAGGCCCCGCACGTTCCACACAAGAAGATGGTTGTTACTCATATCGTTACTAGTTTGGCGACCTGCGTGCCGGCGAACATTATTGCGTCGGCGGCGAGTACTCCCCGGCGTTGCCATGCAGTGGGAACATCACCCTCATCGCGCTCCTTCTGGCGGATGGGGCAAGTTCCGTGAACGCCTGATGGAAGTTAAGCGCCGACGATCGCGTCCGGCGCAAGTTTGGCCGGCATCGGGCGGCCATTCCATTTATTTAGCGCACCCGCCTCACCGCCTCTCGTGGTTTGGGTCACGGAAGGCATGTTTGGCATGCGAGATGAGTGCTCCGCCATGGAGCCAGATCATCGTCGTGTCGCCTTGGCACGTAAGGCGCCGGAGTGTCCTCGGATGATCGGTTCCAAAGACAGGCGAGATGGAGAGAGTCAACGAAGGCCGTCACGGATGCCGCCGTAGGCGCCGCCACTTGTGTAAGTGCTGTGACTTCCTCTGTAGTGGCTGGCTGGGCAGCCGGCCCATCATTGGCAAGGTCGGACGACGGCCGTACACCAGTCGTTGCGCGGAGCTGAGGCGCATCATCACCGTGCACAGGCATGCATGCGTGGGACTGGTCATCGTCGGCGTTCATCTCATCGAGCCGAGGCACCGCGACGTCGTACACCGGTTCGTGCAAGGCCAGAGTGACCTAGGCCATGTTACTGCTGTCTGCCCGTATGGCCGGCCCAGCCAGCTCTGTATCGATTAGAGCGGCCCACCAATCTAGAGTAGCTTGGCCCGCAGACGAATGCTTGGGCCCTTCCCCGGCCTCATTGGCCCAACTTAAGGTATGGGCCTCACCTGTTGCCTGCTGTAAGCTACAGCCGGCGTGCAGTAGAAGGGGCGCGATGTCCAGGAAGCGCCCCACCTCCCCTGACCGGTGCACGTCGTTGTCCCAACAAACTGCAAGGTCAGTAGAAGTGAGGAGATTGGCCCGGCAGGATACGCGGACAGGAGAGATCTTGGGCGTGCCTAGCGCAGACATCGTTGGCCACCTTGACCAGCTAGCAGGTGTGCGCTCGTGTCCCAAGAGGGGGCAGGGCTCAACAACAGCGACGTGACTATTCCCCAACGGTGTCAGCGATCGTCGGCTGGCCCACGGACGAAGGTCAGCGCACCGCTCTGACAAGTTGTCCGAGATCTCGCGGCCACCCCTAGTCCGGGCGCGACCCATCCTTCCACGTGTCAGGGGGCAGAGGACCTGGCCCACACGTACGGAATTCGCCGGAGGACCTCACCGCCGGTAGTCCTGGCCCGGGTGACCGCGGTTGTGGTTGGATTCCGCAGAGCCGTCGTCGTCGCTGTCGTCGGCATATGGATAGTCGATGTCGTCGTGCGGGTGCAGCGGCTCGTCGAACCCGTCGCGAGCGCCGCCATTGTTGTCGCCACGGTGACCGCCATGGCCGTCGTCGTCGTCGTCGTTGCCATGGCCGTTGTCGCCACCCAGATCGTCAGGTGTTCCCAGGGGCATGCTCCAGTCCTGGTACGCGATGACCCGTGTGCGCACAAGGTATCGCAGCCCCGGATCCGCCGTGCGCTCGTCCTCCGCGACCCCCGCCACCCGTGGCTCCGGGATGAAGATAATCTTTTCTTCCTCAATGAAGTTCGGATGCCAGCACCACGCCATGACGAAGAACTCGTGGTCGTCATCTGCCGGCGTGTCACGTATCCGTGAAAGCTCCACGCTGGTGCAACATGGTCCAAGAATGACATGTGCCACGGTGGTGTTCCTTGCGTGCAGTGGTACCCTGGCAATGGCCACGACCACGCGGAAGCGGAACGATCCACCACTCACCTGCGATGTTCTGCGCCAAGGCCGCCACACGAGCGGCACCTGGCCGGAAGGCCGCGATTCCAGAACGTGATCGCAGTCAGCCTGATGGCGGAAGCGCGCCACGAAGTCTTCTGGCGCGTGGCGGCGGACGTCGACCTCATCCGCAGTGATGCCGAAGCGATTGAACAGAGATGTGTACACCATACCAGTGGTGACGTACACCATACCAGTGGTGACGTCGGGTCTGGTACCCCCCCACCATGGCCACGAGCGCGTTGTCGAGCGCCTCTTCGGCCGCCTGGATGGCCTCAGTGCGCGGTACCATGACAAGCGTCATGCGCGGGCGCCTGGGCGGCGCCGCCGCCCCCACCATCTCCACAGCTGCCGAGCCAGCGGAAGGCGGGCCATCGTCGTTGGGTTCCCCCAAGTGTTGCGGGGCAGTCCTATCCTGCCAATAGAACAGGTTAAAACATCAACACCATTAGTGCAACAACAGGTTAAAACATTTTACTGCATGTCACTACTGCATGTCACTAAAATCAAACATTACAGCAGCAGCAAGCTTATGGAAGCAACAAGTTGATCCAAAATACTGTGTGGCTCAAGTATAACCTGAGCGTAATCCTTACAATAATACCAGAATAGGATAAGACAGCAACTCCCAAAGTGTACCAGTTAACATCCAAAATAAGCTACAGCTTCCACAAGTTCAGAGGTTACAACAGAATGTTCCAAAACACTAATATCGTGTAACAATACACACTCGAAGTTCTACTGCTTCTATGCGACCTGGTGTCACACAGTATTCATCATCAATCCCCTCCAGCATCCTTGACATCAACGGGGAACTCATACTCCTGATCGCAGCCCAAGTAAGAGTCTGACATCAAGTAAATCATGTAATCCTTTCTTACAGCCTCTGCAGGAGCGGAGAACTCAAGTTTCACTCTCGCCCTCTTCTGGAGTGCCACTCTTTTCATTGCCAGTAACTGGTTTGTGGAGCTGTCGCCAATCACCAGCCACCAGCCTTCTTCCTTAGGCTTGGGAAACCTTGGCGCATGAACTGGACCAACCTCAGATGACACGTTAGTCATGTCACGCTCCAGAATTACCTGCACGGTTACATTGTCACCAGCGGTTATATCATCACCCTCACGGACCTCATAGGTCATATCAACATTGGGGAACCGCTTGAAGAATTCAATGATGTCTTGCAGCTGAGAGTTTGACAGCTGTAAGAGATCCCAAGATCTCATCGACACCCATCTCAGCAAGATCAAAGATACTCTCGATGGGCTTCCCTTCATTTTCCTGGCACCTCCGAGCCAAGTCCTTTGTAGAGTGTGGAACTTGAAGCAGCACAGAATCCCGATCCCACATGCCTTGTGTCACCATTTGACTCAGCTCCATTGCACTAAGAGCAAGACTAAGCCAACCATTGCTGGATATAACATCAACCATTGCCTGGAGCAACCTATGAGCAGAAAGGAGAATCTCGCGCTGATCAGATGCCAGGTTCCCGACCACTGTGTGCCTTGAAAAATGGGCTTGCAGCAGAGCATTGGCTTTCACATGTGGATCACCATACTTGGGTTTCTCGATAGAGAACCTCTGGTGGCGAACGAGCCTCTCAATGAATTCTTCCTCACCAGGACGACCCGGAAGCTCTGCATATTCTGAAGCAGATGCTAGAATCTCTAGGAGTCCTTTCACCTTAGTCTTCTGGGTCAGCATAGAACTAAAACGCTCAATAGTTGTGTAGCTAATATAGTAGTATGAAGCAATAAGGCCAAGGTTGAGGGGCTTCAGGTACATGTCCTCCTCTATTGCCACACACTTGCTTGATTCAAGATCATTCAGGACAGTCTCGACTAGCTCAGAAAGATGATCTGAAAGATGCCTGTGACTTACACCCTGAAGATTGTAGAAGTTAGGATTCTTTGTCAACCGCCGATACATGAAAGTCCAAGTAAGATAATCCACAGCATCTTGCTTATTCTCTACAACACCAACCACCACCTCAGCATTCATGTGATCATGCAAGAAATGGTGAAGATTGCTCTCGACAGGGAAGGCCTCAAAAAGGAACTTCTTGTAGTACTCTTTGCGAGGTGCATGACACAATATAACACATTTCCCTGAGTTATCTTTAAGTGGTCTGCTGGCATGACCCATCATTTGAAGCAGATCTGTAATTGGATAATCGGTGTGAGCATTCTCCCGGCCATCATAATACTGAGTCCCCATGACAACAACCAAATGAGCAGGCAATGGTCTTCCCCAACACATTGTGCTGCTTGCAACACACACTTGGATCCTCCCACCAAGGAACAGCTGGGTTACAAGTTCCTGATCAAGCTCACTTAGACCCTCATGCAAATAGCCTACACCACATTTAAGTGTATTCTTAAGCGTCTCTTCTTCAACACCTCTGGTGAAAGTATCCATCTCATCTTCTGACCCAAGAAGAAATGGTGTTCCAGCACCCAAAACACTAGAGTACGCACACAAGTCCAATGCAGTTAACCTTGCATGCTTCCTTGTCGGTACATACACCAGGGCAGGTTTACTGTTCTTTGCATGCTGTGTGATGGCAGTGTAGGTAGGCTTTGTCAATGCTTGCATCCTTGCCTCAAAGTTTGCTATATCCACACCCTGGATATGAATTTCCAATGGCACAGGTCTCACTGCTGGAGGGAAGTTGAAAAGGCCATGAGAGGTGGCACCAATCCATTCACCGAGATCTTTAGCATTAGCAAGTGATGCTGAAAGTGCTACGATCCGTATGTTACTGCCTATATGACTGGAAATACGCCTCATCCTAGATACAATGACTTCCAAAACATGTCCCTTATCAGATCCAAGTAGATGAAGTTCATCAACTATGAATAAGCTGACCTGTTGGATGTGCTTTCGCTGTTTCCACCGGCGAGACAGTGCATCCCACTTTTCAGGAGTACTGATTATGATCTCACCTTTATCCAGAAGCTTCAAATCAGCTGCTGTTTCACCAGTGAGCTCAACTACCTTGGCAAACTCTCCAAATTTCCGCTCCCAGTCCCTGTATCTTTCTTTTGCAAGAGCTTCAATGGGAGCTATATAAACAACCCGCATGTTGCTCTCACCAGACACTGCCCTCTGGTGGTTCCTTAGTATAGCAAACTCCACACATATCGTCTTCCCACTGCCAGCTGGCGCAGCGACCAACACACTGGCATCGCTGTTATACAAGACAGTGAATACTTGAGTTTGGATGGGATTGAAATGCTTAAAAGCACTATAAAGGCCCTCGTATCTTGCATTTCTCAATGCACTAACAGGTAGAGGCTGCAGATCAAGCAATTCAGTTGGTGGAGCATATTTTTCTGGTAGAATTAAGTGCCTAAAGCACACAGGGAGAATTGTCTGAGAACCAAGCCACTTGCCAGACACAACACGAATGAAATACTGAGGAGGCAGTGGCTCATATATCAGCACTGTGAAGTTCAATGTATGATCTTCATCAACATACTGTTTCTTAAGCATGAAATATTCATGGTGAAGAATGTACTCGCCATCATTATCCTCAACAATAACCCAAAAGGGCTCCACATATCCATGTACCTTATCATCCCACTGGAAATCAGGTGTAATTGTCAGCTCAAAACTCAAAACTGTACGAGTAATGGGCTGGACATGGGCTGAAAGATTCAGCTTTGGTAACTGGTGGATGCACTTGTGCAGCTGCCTCCCCATCTTGGGATAGCGGATCAGTTCACCAATTTCTTGTGAGGACAGATCGTAGTACCTCTCCCAAGCCAACTCCTTCTCGAGTTTCATCAAGATCTCCTTTGGAATTCCAGTAAACTGCCGCAAGGGAGTTTGGACACTCCACATTTGTTTATCAACCATCTTGCAAAGATTCAGCGCTTTCTCCGCTAGTTGAGTCCATCCCCTCTTCAAAACAATCTCAAATAGTGCTCGTAAGAGACGGCCAGCACTCTGCATTACAGAAGGGGGGAAACATTAACTATACAATACAATATAAGCAAGAAACTCAGGTTCAGAAAGAGCAGTAAGTAGGTGAAACCATGCAAACGAATTATAAATTATAGTTGACACAGAAAAGATGGCGCTACCTGTCTGATGTAGACCATATCAGAACTAAGAGAAAGGCCTTCCAGTTTGAACCTAGAAATATATGCTTGCAGCAGAACATTGATCTTTGCACTGGGTTCCTCCAAGCTCTCTTTCACAGGTATTGGCACACGATCCAAAAGCTTTGCCAGTTCCATTTTCTCATCAAGCCTGACACCTACATACTTAAATTCTTCACTAAGAGAAAACAGTCGGCACAGTTCGATATCACCCATTGTAGGTTTTAGGTACTCATTGTATGTTGAAATAGTTCCATGACTGATATAGTAATAACTGGCAATCCTTCCCAGGTCAGTAACTTGAAAGTATCCTGTTTTCCTGTCATACTTTATCAGATTGTTCCTATCCAGTAGATTTGCAGCGGAATGTATCTGCAGCAGAACAAAAATACAAAAGATCAAGAACAGAACAGGCTAGTATGCTGTAACATCAACAATATCAATGCAATATCATGGAGCAGTAAAATCAACGACTGGTATGGAATAATTGCAAGCCCAAAACTTCTTCTATTCAGCAAAATACTTCAGCAAAACAGGATTTATATCAGCAACCTACATCTTCTCTTCTAACAAAAAAAAAGGTTTGAGGACCACAGTATCATTTCCTTCAAGTCATGTTTGCATAAATACAGATATAGATATTATACTTTCTGAAACAAAATTCTTGTACAACAAGTTGTAACACGTCTCTATCAAAACAAAATTACATGCATTCAATATGTGTACCTATGAGAAGAAAATTGTCATTTCAATATATGTCTATCATTACCCATGCTACATTATTATTATATGCACATGTCAATTACTAATATTTATGATGTGTAATAGGTACCATTAGATGAAGCATGGAATATATTTTCATAATACACCTATTTGGAGATACAAATGCTGATAATAATTTCTACGAACCTAGTCAAACTTAAGAATGCTTGATTTAATGGAAACCTAGAATGACATTCTTTTTTGGGACGGAGGTAGTACCGCACATAATGTGCAGGTGGTACATACAAGCAAGGGATACCTACGACCCTGGGGTGAGGTGCGTGTGTTTGGGGGGGGGGGGCTGTAGCAATTCATTATATGCCTTGCATAACCCAGATGACATTACCATTACAATGCATGTGAAAGGGTGCTAAATACAAGTATGTGATAGTAATAAGATGAGTGCAACCACTACCACTACACATGCAGCAACAAAGGAAAAGGAACAATAAGATGACGCCATCCTACACTGCAAGTGCTTAATGTACCTCTGGTAATTAGCTAAGGATACAATTGCCCTAGTAGCGGGTTCGAAGCAGCCTCTCCGCGGATTTGCGGGGGGAAGGCTTTTCCCTTCCCCAGACCCCACTCATGTGGGAGCCTCCGGCACTGAGTCTGCCCTTTTTTTTAGAGCAGCAGTAGGCACTGAAAGTAAATGTTTTTTTAAATAGCATTTAAAACTGTGCCCCCACACAGTGAACCCATCTCTTAGTGCTAAGTACACCCTACTGCAGAGAGCTATTGATAAATGATGCAGGTTAATATGGTTATTAACTACAAGACTTTACAAAGCAGTTAAGAAATATTTTGCATGTGCAGTTGTGAGAACCTATGGAGCAGGTGACCTCTTCAAATAGATTAGCGAAATAAGATGATACTTTAGCAATTAGATCACATTAACACAGGCAAGGGCCAAAACAATATTGAGAAATAAAACAGTATAAGGACGTGCAAACTACCACAGAACTTCAAAAACTGCAATTCACTTACCAAATCAGCTCTCCTTTCATCAAGCGTTTTATCACTCTCCAAGATATCTGCTGGCAAACCATACAATGTTGGATTGCGGAGCATCCGAATATAGAGGTAAGTATAGCCAAGCCACGAGCATGCTTCACGAGCATTCTGAATAGTCCCCAGAACAATCTCTGCATTCAATTGATCAGCCAATTTGGATATGAACTGACTCTCAATAGGCAGCTGCTGGTTCATAAGAGACAGGTAGAACTGCAATTCACTGTGGCCAGTCAAGATTATTCCCTCTCCATGTGTATCATACTGAGGCCTTCCTGCACGACCAAGCATCTGCATAACATCCAGAGGGCTTAGTTCTGTCCAAGCACCTTTTTCTGGGTTGTAAATCATGCACTTTTTTGATGATAACAGTATGTGCAGGCAAATTGACACCCCATGCAAGGGTAGCAGTGGATACAAGTACTTGAATGTGCTTCTCAGCAAAAAGTACCTCAACAAAATCACGGTCAACCCTTGCCATCCCAGCATGATGAATAGCAAACCCATAAGGCAAAAGGTCTTTAAGATCATTGTTTTTGACAAGTTCAGCATGAGTGCCAAGGATCTCTTGGCTTGCACTATCGTTCTTCAGAAAGCGGCTGACTGTGTCATTTGCCAACGCCGTATCTCTGATGGCTTTGGCAGTCTTTGCCGTCTCCTTCCTTGAGTGTACAAATATAAGCACTTGATGCTTACCAGCGGCAGCCATAACCTTCTCATAACAAATCTCATTCATAAGCTGCATCCTCTGTAGTGGCTTCCTCACAGTGATCCCAATGTATTGCTGAGCAAGAGGGCAAGGTCGGTAACTGTTGTCAAAATAGAAGAGGCTTTCTTTGCGAACGCGCAAGAATAATGCAACATCTTCATAGTTTGGTAGAGTCGCAGAGAGCCCAACCAGACGGATATGCTCCTTGGTCGTCTCAATCTGCCTGACTGTCCTAGCAACAATGCTCTCCAGAACAGGCCCTCTGTTATCATGTAGCAGATGGATCTCATCAATGATTAACAGCTTCACCATTTGAGTATAGGTTCTGTCCCCTGATTTCCTGGTCACAATATCCCATTTCTCAGGTGTCGTGACGATAATCTGTGTTTCATCAATCTGTTGCTTGGTCAAGTTCTGGTCTCCACTGAGCTCCCTAACAGTAACATTGTAACCTGCCAAACGCTTCGACAAGTTTCCAACGACTTCAGCAACCAACGCTTTCATCGGGGCCACATAGACAATTTTGTACTTGGTATTATCAAACTGTCCATCATCCTGCATATGCAGACCGATCTGCTGAAGGATGGTAAGCACAGCCACGTTTGTTTTGCCAGCACCAGTCGGAGCACAGAGAAGGATATTGTCTGGTTTGAAAAGAGCAGTATCATAGACCCTGCTCTGAACTCTGTTCAGCTGGGTCATCCCATCGAAAGCTGACCGTGCAAACTCTGGCATATCAGATATCTTGACAATCTTCTCCCCTGTTTCATAGGGCTTAGCCTTCAGTGCTGGCACATGAACCTCCTCATATCCCTTATGAGGGGTTCTAAACGATCCAGTCGGCAGTTCACATTTCTTGTTAGCCATAAAGAGGCCACCCTGATGGAACAAGAGGCTTTCGAGATCAAGCAGCTGTCTCTGTCCTTTCAGCCATCCACTCTCCATGTCCCGCTCGGCTGCCCTGCGGTCCCAGGCACCATCAGCGCCAGCAGCAGCAGCATTGTTGAGGAGCCTCTTCGCCTCATCCCTGATGCTTTTCTCCAGGTTCTTCTGCCTCTCCTTTGCAGATGCTCTGGTTGCATGTAGCTGCTCCAATATTGGAGCCAAGCTTGGGTCACTTGCCATCTCTTCCTCTATCTTCTTCCTCTGTTCCTGATCTTCGGCCCTGGCTAAGCGGGTGCACCAAACAATCTTGAGACGGTTGTGCAGCAGCAACTTAATGAGATCAAACTTCCCATAGTCCAAGAGCATGACAAGGCGATTCTCGACGTCTCTGTCGTCAGCAATGATCTTCAAGATATCCTCGGCAAGCTTCTGGCTCTGCTGGGCATCAATGTCCCCATCCCCATATGCCTGGGATATCTTCCTCTGGAGCCAGTAAGCATCGATGTCCTGAACATTGACAGCCAGCCCCTGGTTGGCGTTCTGCATGTCATCATCGTCTAACTCACCGCCCATCTGCATACCTCCAGGACCATTCAACTCAGCCATGTCATCTTCGTCATCCTCATCCAGCTCATCTTGCACCTGGTAGGCACAAACACAAACATACGGTGGTAAGCAAGTAATGTCGGGGTCAAAGCCAAGTAGTCAGTTAAACAAATGCATAAAGGTGTACCTGATCAAAATCACTCTCCTCGTCGTCATCTTCAAACTCGACAGCAACACCAACATCATCATCCAGGGTGGTGCCCATGCCGTCGGCAGAAGGCGCACCGGCAGCATCACCGGCCGCCGCATCATGAAAGTCGGTGATGAACTTGCCGATGGAGACAAGCTGGTCAAAGAGCTGGCTGGAGATAGGGTTGAGCAGCTGCTCAATGTCCTTCTTCTTATCAGGGTTCTTGACCTTGTCATTCTTGAGCGTGGCGAGCACCTCGTCAGCAGCCCCAGCGAGGACGTCAAGGGGCTGGCCGCCGAGCTGCTGCTGGATGAGACTCAGCAAGGCCTCGTAGGCGGCGCGCGTCTCCTTGGTCTGGGGCTTGTAGACGGCGTCGTCGGTGAGGGAGAGGACGGAGACCTCCTGGGCGGAAGCGGCGCGGCGCCTGCGCTTGGCGTCGCGACGGGGGAGGTCGGGGTCGACCGCGGCGGCAGCGTCGCGCTTAGACTTCTTGGTGCGCGACTTGGAGAGCTTCTCCTCGAGCTCCGGCGGCTTGTTCTGGACGGCGCGGTCGCCGAAGGACCTGGAGTCGATCCTGCCCCAGAGCGTCTCGGGCTCGCCGGTGGGCTCGTGGGTGTCCCGCGGGCGGGAGTCGGTGGTGAGGACGAGGCTGGAGTTGGCGCCGTACTCGTACTGCTTGAAGCGCGCGTGCGCCTCGGCGCCGCCGCCGAGGTTGGACATGGCAGCCGCGGCGGAGGAAGGTGGGTCGGAATCAGCAGGACAAATTATCGAATCTGAAAACCTTAACCATCTATTCTGGAGAGCCAAGGCAACGCAGCGCAATAGGGATGGAAATCGAAGCAGAAGAGGAACGGCAGTGTGGGGAGAGAGCAGAGACTCAGACAGGTATACCTTTGGTCGTGCGGCAGAAGGGTCCTCCTCGCGCTCTCCCGGCGGCGGCGGAGGACTGTCGCGGCGGAGTGAGTGGGGTTAGGGCCTAGGGGTTTACCTTCCGGCCTGAATCTGATTTGATTCGATCTGATGGATGGAAAACGAAAGCGCGAGAGCTTCGCGGCAGAGAGCTGACGAGATGGGGGGGGAGCTGGCTGGCGAGATAGGTTGTAGACCGACGAACCGACTTGGGCTCAACCGACTTTTGGTTATTCGGCTGGCCCAATACAAGTTGGCCCATTAAATATTGCTCTAACAATGATGATGGGAGATCCAGGCCCAGACTTGAGCCCGAATCTTAGAAATGCTGCCAATTTCATTAATTTCGTAGATTTTTCCTCAAAAAATCGTAGAGAAGAGAGATTTAAAATCTGTGTAACCAGGATTACAAAGGCCAACTCTTGCACTCATAGATACGCTTCCTCCTTGATCTTTGCGAGCATCAGGGCCTTATGATAGTAGGCGCAACCATTATCAATGGTTATGCTGACAGATGTGTGAATGTGCACAAACAGCCTTATGACAGTAGGCGCGACCATTCCATTTTTCAGGATTCTTGATTTTTTTCATTAGAAATGATTGGAATTGTCAATTGTAGTTCCAAATACAATAGACTTAAACGAGCAACCCAGATAGTATGGTTTTGATTCAACCCAATTCTAGAAAACAAGATGTTTTTTATGTGTTTTTAATACTATTTTTTATTCAGCCCAATTACGCAAGGGGGACCCTTCCTTAGATCATCGCCCTCCTAAACTTAAACAGGCGGTGGAGGAGGACTCATAGCAGCGGAGTAAGAGGGGCTAGGGGTTTGTCTTCCCCTACCTGGATTTGATTTTATTTGATATGATGGATGGAAAGCAGAGTGGGAGAGCTAAGCCCTAGCAATCTAGTAGAGAGCAGATGATGCCTGATGAGAATCGGGTGCAAATGGATTTAGACCCAACGGTGATAAACTTTGTGCAGTAGTGCGGGTCACACCCTTACAAAAAGTTCACATGTTTCTAGGTTCTAGGGTGGAAAAGGGCTAGTAGAGTGAGCACATCTCCTAGTAAGAATGTGGCCATTTTTTCTTGTCCATCACATTATGTATGGGTTGAGCCTCTTAGTTGCGTCAAGAACATTCTTAGGCAATGGCATGCTAACAACTCATTCTATAGGAAATTAGTGCAGTATGTTAAGAGTAGACATTGGTATTGATGGCCAAATTGGCCTTACCTAATGGGCTGACATGAGGGGTGACAACTTCAACATGACACGATAGCCATGTCTAGGACACTCCCCTAGATCGTAGTGCAAGGACGAGCACAACATTATAACATGTCATCTTGTTAATAAGGGCCCAACCTCTCATCTACATCCCTTGCGTGGCCATACCTGCATGTTGGTACTTGTTGTTTCCGTCCTCCTAACCTCCCTTATCCCTTTGTCTCCACCGAAGCCACTCCTCTCTATAGATCTATATCGCTAGAAAGTTGCACAACGTACCACCGCTCGCTCTCTAATTTCTCTCCACGTGACTCCTCCGAACCTCCTCGTGCTCACCCTAATCGATCCCATGATGGACATGCAACGACTTCTCATGCTCGATGTGCTATATGTGCCAACAACGAATTTGTCCTCTACGGACCAAGATCTAGTGTTTGGCGAGATGAAGGGTCTGTTTGGTACGTAGTCAGAACTTACCACACCTAAAGTCTGGTGCGTTGACTCGATTGGGCTGGTGTTTGGTTCATAACCATAGCTTTGGCGTGCCACAATTGCTCAAGCTTGTTTGTAGTCTCTTGCATCAGATTTTCACACCAAAAGTCTTGCGAACTTCTTTGTCGCCGAACCTCCAGCGGCCATAATTGTGATGTGGCAGGCTGAGGTAACCAGCCAAACAGGGCCGAGGTCTCTGGTCCCCCGCCCCACTACAACAAAATTCATGAACATGGAGGATGATTGTGAATGATTTGTGGCTATGAATGTTTAGTACGTTGTAAGTGTGATTTGGGAATTGTGAACTTTAAGATCTATCGACCTATGGACGCACTTGTGATTTTATCAATGATTTATGTGGCTGATTAGGCTTGCTGCAGGCGTGTCGGACAATTGTGCTCGCATGGCCATGGTTAAGGTTGCCACGTGCAGTACCTAGGTCTTGACGAGTTGACGGGCAGCATGGCACGACACGGTTACCTAATCATGTCGTGCCTGAAGGAAGGAGTTCATAAAAGCAAGGACGGTGAGGAGTGACCGAGTGACAGAGAAGTGCACTCAGATAGTCAGATGGAGGAAAATATATGGATGCATGAAAAAAAAATACCGTACTTTAATAATATTGTAAAGAAGATCAAAGATGTCATATTTTAAGAGGAGAAGCAGGGGTGAATCCGGCGCTTATTACATATATACTACTACCTCACACTAAAATAAACTTAGCCGATAAACCAACCTAACGAACGCAACAACAGGAATACATGATAACGAACACACACAGAGTACACAGTTCATGCAGCCAATCACCCTCATCCGCACTCCATTGCTAGCTATATATAGCTAGCTAGTTGTAAATGGAGCACTTCTTCCTGATCTCGGCGTCCGCACCGGGGCTGGTCTTGACCTCGATGCTGCCCATCTTCACCATCGCTGCCGCGAACTTGGTCTCCCACAGGTTCCCCGAAGAACCGGCCACGTAGGTATCCACCAGCGGCTTCGTTGCCGGCGAGCTCAGCGCAGCGTCCGAATCCAACACCACGTCATCGTCGTTCACGTTCTGGTAGTACTGCACGTCCATGGTGTCAGGGGTCTTGTAGTCCAGCGCCACCTTCGTGTTGCCGCCGCTCCTGCACTTGTCCCTGAGATCCTTGGTGAGGGTGGCGTTCATGTCCGTGCGGTTGGAGACGAACGCGCAGCGGGCCTGGCCGATGGTGTGCGCCCCGGAGAGGGTGACCATGTCGTCGGTGTCGAGGCCCTTGGCTGCGAAGAAGTTGTTGAGCGCGTCGAGGTCGCAGAACGGGCCGGGCAGGTTGTCCGTGGTCTCGTTGGCGAGCGAAACGCGCCCGTCGTGGCGGCCGGCGGGCATCGCGAAGGAGCTGATCCTGCCGCCGCTGAGCACGCTGGACGCGTCGCGGGCGGCGAACGCGAGGGTGTCGGCGCACGAGACGACGCCGGGGCAGGCCGCCTCCAGCGCCGCCTTGGCCGCGTCGATCACCTGGAACCCGCGGAGGCTGTTTATGTTGGGCAGGCCGAACATCTCCGTCTGCTCGCTGGAGCCGCTCGTGTTCCTGAGGAGGACGGAGGCGTCGCACCCCCGGACGAAGCAGTCGTGGAAGAAGAGGCGGATGAGGCCCGCGCCCGTGCCGGGGTCTTTGCTCACGGCGTCCTCCACGACCTTCCTCACGATGTCTTCCGCGTTGGGGCACGCGTTGCTAGTGCTGCTGTTGTAGTAGCCGACCTTGAGCACTGACGCTGAGGGGGCAGGGCCCTTCTTCAGGGGGTAAGAGGTCAGGTTTCCGGGGCAGACCAGCCCGCCGCCCAGGAGCGATGGGACTGGGCGAACCCACCCGCCCAGGCAAATGATGCTGGCGCCATAGCAAGCCACTGGCCCGAGCAACGCAAGCAAGGCGACGAGGGCGGCAAGCTTGGCATCCATCTTCTTTGCAAGCTCTCGATCGATCGGCTAGCTAGCTGTTGCGTTGGTTTCTTGTCTTGCACCAGATTGTGTGTGCTTTTCTCCATGGGCAATGCGTGTAATTTATAGCTAGCTCCTGCTGGGCGAGGAGAGCGTGGCACTGTCCACTGTCCACACGGTTCGCGGCGGTGCACGTCGTACGTTGGCGACGACGACGACGGATGCGAATTTCACCGAAGGCGGCGCGCGGATGCAGCAGGGACCGCAGCTGACCACCTGATCTATTTTGACCGTCTGATTTTGACTCCGGAGGTGGTTGTGATTTGGGTGTGAAAACACTAGACCCTGGTGCGTCTGCTCTAATAACCCCTTATTTCTAGCAAGTTGGGTTTGCATATTGTATTGTACTGTTACCTGTTAGATTAGAGGTGCATTTTATGAACTCCTCCACAAATCCAAAAAAATTATGGTCCTATGCGAGCAGTCATCACCTGCAAAAGTTTATAATCATACTTTTTGCACAATTTTATTTGACTGGTGAACCTTTAGGTTCTATCAGTATGAATTTTCTAAATAATATTTTCCAATGCACAAATATGTTGTGCCCGTACTATTAAATTATTTTTACCCGTGTCCGTATGGTCCATGTAAATTAACAAAATTGATTATCATATAAGAGGCATATATTTATACGTGATAATTGCTTGTAAAGTAAATAAATTATCAACAATTGTGGATGGAAAAATGCCATGTACACTCATTTTGGGACACACATAATTGAATACTTACGCGTGTGTGTGACTTAGGGTCTATTTGGATTCTTTGTCTAAAGTTGAGGAGTAAAACTTTAAACCACTATAACTCACTTTTGTGGTCTAAAATTTTTATGAGATTAGATAAACATTTAGACAACACTTTAGACCTCCTATTTGAAGCCCTAGAGCTAAAATAGTCTAAACTTAAGCCGCTAAATTTTAGACCATGGGACCAAACAAGACCTATACACCAAACTTTAGATTAGTTTAGCCACTAAACTTTAGACCACTTTAGCTCTTAAGGCTTAAAACAAGAGGTTTTAAAGTGTTGTCTAAAATTTTAACAATTTCACAAAACTTTATACCACACAAACGAGCTAAATGGATCTAAAGTTTTATCCCTTAACTTTATAATCAACTAAATTTTAAACCTGAGAATCCAAACAGACCATTCAAACAACAAGTACTGAAAGTCGTAGTCATGCCGTGTGTCAGAATATTGTGGACTGTTAAACGGTAAGGTTAATAATGCATGCACAGCAGAGGGCGAATAATCAGTTATAAGTATGAAACCACATGACCTATCCTGTTATAGCTTTATGACCTTTATTTAGTGCACTGCCACATCGTACCAAATATTTAATCTTACGTACAAATAGCAGTTGATGCATGCGTATATATGTCTACGTGCAATGCACAGTAGTTTGAGCATTGCGTGCGTGTTTCACGAGTATATATGATGATGGGTCTTTTTTGAGGGCTTTGGCTTCTCAACGCACCATTAACATTAGAGTCAACTTTTATTTAAAAAAATAGTAGAGTCAACTTGCTAACTCATATTATCTTAAAAATAAAATAAAATAGAGTAACCAAAAGACCAGTTTGGTAAAACTTGTCTTCCTCTTCTTTCAAAAAAACTTGCCTTCCTGGTTTTCGAGCTTCACTTCTTGATTCTCCAATTGATTCTGGTGGTAAGCAGGGTGGTGAGCAGGTGAGAATCAATTCTGAAGTGATATATTCTAGTGGTGATTGAACGGAGAGCAATGGCAAGTGGTGGACAGTGGGGTTTTTTTAGCTCTCGGCTCGTAGTGTAAATGAAGAAGTGATTCTCGTCAACTCCACACCAGAATCCAGTTGCATTTTAAGCATTTGGTAGGGATGTGTAGAATCCACTCTGAAGATACTAGGAGAGCTTTGCGCCTCTGCCGAACTAGCCTAACATGTTAGTATAGAAAAAATATGTAAGCATAGACACATGAATCATAAAAAATGTGTGAGCTTAGCTCTTCACGAAGAGCTAGCTTATCATTCTCACTCCATACTCAATAAAACATTCTATGAGATAGCTGTTTTAACATTGTTGGAGATGCCCTCAGATTCACATGCCATCCTATTTAGATTTATTGTAGCACAGAGCCGATGCCAACAGCTTAGAACACCTGAAGCCGGTGAAGCCCACTTCTGACTTCACCGTCCCTTGGAAGTCATTGCAATCACTACTGGAAACTCGAATTGCCCTGTAGGTGACGAATTTTTCTGTGCGTTTTTTTTCTGTACGCATAGAAAAATTACGATTATTCTGTCGGTTCCAAAATATCCTGACAGAAAATACGAAAACCCACAGAATAATTGTATGATTTTTCCGTATGTGACAATACACACGGAAAAATCAAGACTCACGTAAAAAATGCAATTTATTCTATCGGTTCTTTAAAAACGCATGAAAAAATATACGCACGATAGGATAAATAAAAAACAAAGAAGTCCTAACCCTAACCCGCGGGCCGTCCGCCCCCAAACACCCTCGACGCACGCGCACTCATGGACTCTTTCACCTGCTCGGCTGCTCATGGACTCGTCTCCTCACGCACGCAGCGTCCCCCTCCTCCCCTTCTTCACCACGGCCCCAGTCCTCCCCTCCTCTGGCGCCCCCCCTCCCTTCTTCACCCAGTGGATCCGCCCTCCTCTCCGGATCCGCCGGTGGTCAGGTGGCCGGGCGGGGGTGTGGCGGCGGCGGCGCCCTCCCTCCCCTTCTTCTCCCCACGGGCGCCCTCCCCCCCTTCTTCCCCAGTGGCGCCCTCCCCTCCCCTTCTTCACCCGGCCGATCCAGCCCTCCCTCTCTCCGGATCCGACCGGTGGGCTGGTGGTGGTGGTGGTGGTGGCCGGTGGCGGCGTGGTGGTGGCGGCAACCTCCTCCCTTCTTCTCCCCACCGCGCCCTCCCTCCCCTTCTTCTTCCCGTGGGCGCCTCCCTCCCCCTTCTTCTTCCCGTGGGTGCCCTCCTCCCCTTCTACACCCCGGGATCCGGCCCTCCCTCTCCGGATCCGGGTCGGGTGGCTACGGTGGTGGCGGCAAGTGGGCGTGGTGGTGGTTGTTGGTTGTTGTATTTTTATGTGCAATCTGTGATGCAAATTCCCATTTCTGAATCATCGTGATTATTGCAACAAAAATCACCATCTTTCGGCTGAGATTGCACCGCAAATTTAGTTTTTATTGCATTCAGAGTATGTTTTCTAGTGTAATTTGTTGTAGTCAATGCCATTTGGTATCGACTTGCGCAGTCATTCTTTGTGATTGTGTGTCTCAAAACATGGCGTATCACAAGGGGAACGGATCTTATGACCTTTGGTTGCTTATTTATGAGTTTCCGCTTACTATATGCCCGCTTACATGTTCTCGATTGTTCTAATGATCATGACTGAAAAAACTGATTGTATTTTCTTTCTTTTTTGGTGAAAGGATGGAAAAAAAAGGCAAGATGGAGAAACAAAGCAGAGTGCCTTGGCTTTTGTTTTCTTTGGGCATGTTTGTGGTGATAAATATATAACTATAGGCAAGCCATAGTTTTCTTAGCAAGGGCACGCCACGCTTTCTTGCTTGGATGAATGCTTCGCTACACTTTTGCCACACCGGACTAAAAAGAATTGCATGGTAGGAGTATAGAACAAATTGTCGCTTTACCTTCTTTGTTATGCATGGTTATATGGTTTGACAAAGAGGGGTGCCAATCATGATAGGAATCAAGCATGCCTTTTGTCTATATGCTCTGCTTATTCTCCGGCATGGAGCTAATATGCCTCGAAAAGCAATTGTACAAGGAGGTGGGGCCGTGGGGTGTGTAGGCTCATACCGATCATAGGTGGTCATGATTGAAAGTAACAAAAGGGAAAAGAAATGCACCATCAAAGGGTGTAGGGAAGGAGAAAAGATACTTATGACCACAAACTAATGGCTATTGTTAAGCGGTACCCTTTCTTTAGGGTTTGGTCTTGATCTTTTCCATTCGGAATCGATCGCTTCTTGCTCGTTTGAATTGTAGTGGTGTGGTGGAGCACATTCTCGCTTTGACACCCCCTTTGCATCCCCCACCAAGGCCTCCATTGATACTATTACTACACCAAGAATCGCTGAATGGTAGCATCGATAAAGAGCCCCCTCATCATGTGGCTCTGTTAGCTAATCTCATCGCCACCTTGTGTGAACACAATGAGATGAAGGCGGCGCCGACTTAGCTCTGTCATTGTGTTAAGGCGGCGCCGACTTTGCCCCCTCTTTTGTGATACAAGAGGTCGGCTGTAGGTGCAAAGCCGCATGGCTCACCCAACAAAGACTTTGTAGGCAAAGGGTGGCCGACGCAGCAGTCAGCCCTATCAAAGTTATCTAGTTATTGTGCCAAGATGGGCGCCGCACATGGACTAGATAGTTAGAGTTGTATAAATAGACATGTATGACAACTCAAGAAAGAGAGCTCAGATTGCCATCACACGATGTGGGCCTCGGCTAACGTTGTTGTCTTGTATTGTGCGTGCTTGCTCTGCTTCTCCCTTCTTCTTCTAGCTCGATCCATAGTGTGTGGGTACGGACACAACCGGTATAGTGGTCTGGGAAGACTAGTGGTCCGGGTGCGGGAGACTAGCTAGTGGTCTGGTCTGGAAGACTAGTGGTCTGGGAGACTAGTGGTCTGGTCTGAAAGACTAGTAGTCTGAGACTAGTGGTCTGGAGACTAGTTCACTATCGCCAGACGGTGATCTCGTGGGCCAACAAGTGGTATCAGAGTCAGACAAGCGCCTGTCGTCATTCTAACCAATGGCGAGGACAGGCGGTTTGAGTTGGACGATGGCAAAGCAGCAATTTGTCATAGTTGCCTAGCCACTACCGGAGGTAGTTGTCCGCGACGGCAAGGGAGGTCGGGCCGCACCACTTGGCCGACAATCGACTCGCACTAACTATGGAGAGTGGTCGATGACCATAAAGGTCAAGCTTCGAGC